ACAGGCAACTCCATCTTGAAATGCTAATTTATGATTAGCTTCATTATGCAGTAGTGTAATTTCACAAAGGCCTTCCCACAGAGGCGGACAAAAGAGCCCATTCACAGCAGCAGCGCCGGCGCCACACGGTGTGAGGATGGAGAATTACGGCATGCAGATGAACTCATTGATGCACTGTGAGATTTATTTGATAATTATAGACCTTCGCGCATTTAATGCCACTTAATAAGGAGTGTGTTGTATGATTTCAGATGACGAATGCTTGCTTTTTTTGTTTGGCTCTATGCGACAGCTGTTAGCCTTTCTGAGCTTAAGGGGCTTTTTTACTAAGTATTGCAATAGCACAATAAGTCACATAAAGTAGGTAGTTAATTAACAAGCTGGTGGTAAGGTATGAATAATAAGAGTGGTAACGCAAATATAAAACACCATTGCTCAATGCTGAATGGAATATGAATATGTGGGTTAATTAAAAGTCTGAAACATTTCTTTGGTTGTATCTGACATTATGCTTCAGCAACTGGCGATGCATCACCCCATTACAAGCTATCACTCTCTGACACGCTGTTTACCCAAATGTCAGTCCTAACGCCTGATATAGCCGTGTTGTTGTGGAGAGCTAATTAAGTTGCCAAAGTTTAATTGCTCAATCATCAGCGGTTAACAAAGAGGCGTAGCTAGCCCCCTCCGTACTTCCCAACGCACTATATTTATAATGGCCAACAATTACACAGAGGGCCCTTTAGCTGGGTTAGCACTGGTGAAAGCTGCCGGCGCTAATGAAAAGCTATAATCACTCCGCCCACAGCAGTTATTAGGAGCAAATTATGGGTCAGCTCCAGGCCTGGCAGTTATACGAGTTAAGAAAAATATGCTTGAGAAAATGAAGGAGAGGCACTTGTCTTCAACTTTAGTAATATTGTTTGTGATATGTCCTCAGTAGTTATAAGGAGACCATTTTAAGAGTTCATTGGTCTTTTCTTAAACAATATCTTTTAAAAGGAAGCCATCATCTATGCGTCTAAATGGGTTACACTTATAGCTGTAAATATTGTAGTTTTCTTTGCATATGCCACTCCCCGGCTTGGATAAGAAGGGGCTGTTTTATTAAAGGAATACATGGTAAAGATGTAAAACTTAAGTGCACACTGTAATGCATGTGTTAGGTTAAACTTGTAGCCTATATTTATTACAGCATATTTTGCACTGTTATTTTATCTGCCATGAACCAGAAGTAAAACTGGTGTGCTGTTAGCATGCTAGTTGGCTCACTTTGGGCTCTGAAGCGCACTTATAAACTTGTTGTAGTGAAGAATTATCATGCTAGGAATGAGTTACAAAAGTTATGGTTATGTTTGGACAGCTGCAAACAGTTTCATCAGGTAAATAGACACTCCTGCTCACGGACTGCACTAGACTATAGAGGGACAGAGGAGCTCATTTCTGAACAGGCTGCTAGAGCTCTGATCATACAGAGAGAGATACAGGACTACATTCATACCATACTATATGTATATTCATACCAAACTATATATAGATAAACCTATGTCATCATAATTTCATTTTTACACAGTTTCTCCATCTTGTATATAACAGATATATTTGCATTAATTTATTTCTATATTTTATTTTTACTTGTATAATAATATAATGCCTTATATCTTTTTACCAGCCTTTTATTTTTATTACTACCATTTATATTTAAGTCGTTAGTTCTAGTTGTTATATTTGTTGTGAGTGTGAGCTACCGTGTCCAAATAATTTCGCTTGTGGATCAATAAAATTTGCCTATATCTATATCAACTGAACATATGGGAATTATCAATGTTATGAACCTATTCCATTTATTCAGGTTTGGAACTAAAACATGAGCGCTGGGTGGGTTGCTTTTAAGTAGAAATGCATTCAGTTGAATAAATTGCTCTGAACCTTTCCAGTTTGACGACGATACAGCCAATCAAAGAAACAAAGCTCTGCCTCTCCTTTTAATTAAACAGCAATGATACGTTTGGTAGAACTGAATATGCCGGAAATTGGTTTGAATGAGAAGGGTCAGTGAGCTACCTCATAAATATTGTGAATGGCTCCTGTATTTTAATGTAGCATTATCATTATTGCAATCATAATATGGCAGAGCTTAATATTAAGACCATATACGACACTAGTTTTAGTTTAGGTTCAGTTGCTGTGTGGTAGGCACTTTGGGTTTAGAATAAGGGATATTATTTATATATATAACTAGGAATGTGACAAAATCTCATGCCGCAAGATCTCGTGCGATAAAATTGTCACAAGACTGCGCACACATGCGAAAAATTATCTTGTGAGATTCTTATTCCATGCGTTGACATTTCGATTGGACAGTCACATCTCTTGAGAAACTAATTCCAAAAGAGATGGCTATAATTACAGCAAAATTATCAAATTTAAATAAATAAAAATTTGTGAGTTCAAAATTGTGAACTGAACGGCACAATTTATTTATTATACATTATGTCAAAATCGCATCTTGTCTCGTTCTCGTGGACCCACCCCTATATGGAACATTTTTAAAGATGTTTTTACCATTTGCTCTGTGCTCTGTAGTCTCCAACTATTGCATTGCTACACAGAATGACACCACCTCTTTTCTTTTACACCACTTTTCATTCTCTCCCTTTCCTTCTGGTTGCTTAGACAGACTCGGAAGGAATTTGGCGTTTCATTGATCAAGTCTTCATTATCTGCGACTGTGCTGCTCATCTGTCCGATTCCACAATACAGCTGTAAGCAGTAACTGAGGGAGAAGTGTGCCCTGTGTGTAGTGAGGGGCCTCTCTGCACAGATACTAACAATCGGCAGGCGTCCCATTCGAGTTAATGAGAAGGGCCCCGGTCTTTGCAGCTAAGGAAGAATGCTTGGCCCGTCACTCAGCGCATTGCTCAGGGCTATTAGCAATTCATTAAACCACTGACCGCCACCTCGCTGTATCAATTAGGGGATAGTTGATATGTCGGTTATTGTTAGCTTTGCCTGTCTGTTGAGATTGCATTGCGTTTTATTCATGGATTTTAGTTGTGTGAAGGTTGCGCCACAGAGAAAAGGCCAGGAGCAAAGCAACAGATGTATGCTGGGTGTCCTCACAACCCAACTGATAATCAACATTTTAACTAGGCCATGGAGGGCATATTAACACAAAAAAAGCTATTTCACATAATTTTAGCTTTGAAAGTAGAAAAAGGTGAAGGTGAAATAGTGCCATCTTCAGGTAAAAGGTGGTAATGTCTGAGTTGATTAATCACAGATGAGACTAAATTTAGGGTCATTTTTTAAACTTAGTTTTTGGTAAGAATGGATCTTTTGCATATTAAAAGTATAATAGAATATGTCTGCATGTTGATTCTTAGTCCATAAACACGTAGTTGCCATAGATGCTTTGTTTCTTATACTATCCATATTATGATACAAACTACATTTTCAGCTAATTTCTTTAGCTCACAACTTAAAATAGCATGACACCAATTCATTTCTTGGTTCTATTATACAGAGGCTCTAGAAGATGTAAAAAATAAAAAAATAAAAACTTTGCAAGAATGATGCAACTGTTTTTGATGTATGTATGTTTTTCTAAGAGATAATAATTAGCATATTTACTTACTTTGTTAATACCTGAGACACAGATAATACCAAAATCAGACAAGGATTTAAAAACCAAAGTTATATTTTCTTCAGGTTTTTACATCGATCCGAGAGCTACTCATGGACTAATGTATCCCAACTGTCATCCCAGGTAAATTGGAGAAGTGGACTTTCTGTGGATCTAACTGACTATTCATGAATTACTGGAACACCGCATACACTGCAAGCAGAAAATTTACACAAATATAAAGCAATAACTATGAAAGCCCAGCGATGTGTCATAAGGTGAGCAATTTGCTTAACAGCTCTAACAGAATGGCTTCATTTGGCTGATTTATAAAATATTACCAAGGACTCAACCGTTGTTTAGAGCCAGCTAGGCAAATCTCAGGCAAATTCCCCTTGTTGTTCACAAACATGATTCCTCATTTCACTCTATGGATTTAGATAAGAGTTCTCCTGTTTGCATGCATATCTGATTCCTATTTTTATAAATTCAAACTTTGATGGCCTTTATCATGCGTTTATAGGCTGTATATTGAAAAAATAATATAGTAAGAAAAAAAGTGGTTGTGCAGTCTGTTTACTCACCACAGACTTATTTGCATCAAACACTGTTGAATTGAGCACAAGCCAATGAACTGGGTTGACATTTCATTCGCCAACTGCCACCATGGGAGAGCAGTTTCATGTGGTGCACCCAGCTTTGTGATGTCTCTACCTAGAATGTCAAAAGAAAATATGGCTACAAACAATATTATATATATATATATATATACACATACATACATTTTATAATATATTTTGGTAGTAGATCATTGTAAAATTCAAATGTTGCCACCCTTTCAACTGAAATCTTTCCCATTGAGAAAAGTTGCACTCCACCCTCTCCAGTTATAATAAGCAGTTGGACTAGTTCTGTCATATTAAGTCAGTTTATGAGGTTTGACTCATACTGTAAATCAACCTGTATAAACATGTGTTATTACCACAAAACTGTTGTATGTTACAGTAATACATTGTTACGTGATTACGCATTGTTACCAACATACTGAGACACTGCCATTGCATTTGCCTCCGTGTGCTTTGTCAGCACTTAGCTAGGTGACACTACCACCATTTAAAAAGAACTGCATTGTGGTGTGAACGATACACAGGAAAGCCACAAAAGACACACGGCTAATTATCACATTTTGTTGCAGGGTCAGAGGCAACGGCTCCAACCAAAGTCAGCGGATAAGCGGCTTGGATGAAACTCCACTCTTTCATGGTGCAATTGTTTGGGGTGGCCATTAGCACTACAGTGTAATACCTCTGATTGACGCTGCTGTCTACTTAGCAGTGATGAGTGGTGTATTTGTGTGTGCGTTTCTGTGTACCGGGGAGGGGGTCAGCTGAGGGGATTGATCGGGGTCTCCGTTGTTGCCAAATGCAGGGGTGAGGGTGTATTGGCGCGTAGACAATAGCCGGCCAGTGAAAGGCCCATTCTGCCGATCCCTGTTAGCTGTCTATTATCCTCGGTCTCCAGGGGGCTGCTAAATAGAGGGCATGTGTTAGGCAGACATTTATCATGTAATTACAGCACTAGGATCCGTTTCTGATGGCGTGTGATGATTACTAATAATTACTGTGCATTTCACGCCTCCGAAAGGGCCCAGATGGGGTCCCAGGGCGTCAATACAAAGAGTAGGGGGGCTGAAAGAGAGAGGGAGAGGAGAGACAGAGGAGAAAAGGGAATGTGCAGAAATGGATAGACATTTGAAGAGGAAAAGAAGAAGGATCATGTTTCGCCTATACCATTTAGAGGTGCTAATTAGCTAAATGAATTGAACCATATGTGTCCAAATGCCACTTAAGTATAGTAAATAGGCTGTGAATGGACAGGAGGGTTTATATATGACCTATGTATGAACATTAGGTCACCTCCTCCACCCCAGCCCCACAGAGAAACAAAATTAATAGGAAATTAATTTATTGCTAAATCGTGTTACATTGACTAATGGTAAGAATACAGTGCCATCTTGTGGTTTTGTTATGTAACTGAAGGGAATAAGGAATATACTAGAGCTTGTCTAATGTCATTGTATAGGTATAGGTATAGGTATGCTTGCTCCATGAAGAATAGGGCTTGACATTATCAGACCAAGTAACAGGTCAGATCTGTGGAGAGGAGAGAGAGTTCTGTGCACAGAAACAATGCATTTTTTTCCAAGCTATTACTGAACAAGAAAACTGAAATATATGTTTAATGCCATAGTGTGGGACATTCAGGGAAATCAATAACATCTCCATGGAGATAAGCAGATGGTCTCTTCCGCCATAAGTTACACAGAGCATCTTTAAGTTTTGGTTTTTAATATAATGTTCTGTCCACTACTCCAAACCTTCACTGATTTATCACATGATTAAATCAGACTAAGAATCTAATCTCACTTAAATTTCAACAACAGCCACTGGTTATGCCATTATCTTGATTTGTGGCTTCATTGCAGAAAAATGGTTAAAAGTGAAAAGGTTTCGAGCCTATGGGAGTGATTCAATGAATGTCTTCAAGATTGGGGCTTAAATAAAAAAGACAAACACCCTCTTATGAAAGCAGCCATCTTGGTTGTGTCAGTGCTGGAGAATGGGCCTATGCTTTGAGACACACAGCGTCTGAAATACAGCAGTGCACTGTAGTATTTCTGCCCTCTACAGGATTCAGGATAAATCAGCCAGGTCAAACTGCCACTGATATGATGTAGAGCGAATATAAGGATGGTTTTTACTGTCCGCATGTGTGTGGGGTACAAGTGCTGTGTGGGCCTTACATCATCTCAAAAGAATGAAGATGGAAATGATTAGATTTTGGGTAGTTTAATCATGTTTTAATAAGTTTTCCCTCATCAATAGATTATGTGTATTTTGATAGATTCATGCATGTTTGAGTCAGTAATCTGGCATTGTTGTGCATCCCCACCCATGAACTGTACTTTTTGTGTTTACACATTCATTTCATTGTTCAAAAATGGTGCATGGCCAACAATGTAAATTAAGAATGAGCTACTTGCTAAGGAGAAATACCATGATAAAGATTCAGGTCAGTAGCATAGAATTTGTTCTGCAGTTTCAGACAGGAAGTCAATGAATCCATTTCTATTATTAGGTTGGGTAACAGATAAACATTGAGGTTTAAATTAACTAAATATAAAACAATTATCTATGTATGCTTGGTTATTACAAAAAAAATTAAAAACCATAATATATCTTTTTTTTTAACTATAAGCAGCCATTTTAATAATTTGTATTTGACAAAAAGGGACCCTCAGAACTAAACGATGCCCACCTGGCCACAGTGAAACCCAATGAGTGCCAGCACAAAGGCCATCTGCATGGATGTGGCTGTGAAGGGGAGGAGGTCAGCACGGGGAGGATGAACACCGTCCTGTTTAACAGAAACAAATTGCTCTCCACTTCCCAGTGACACAGATAGCGGACCATTTGTGCCTAGTGGCCTTTGTAGGGAACAACAGAAAGGAAATGTACTCATCCTGGCTGGGTATAAAGTTCGGGGCTTTTTGTTACAGCCCAGTTACCTTAGCCTCAGTGCCCACCCTCTTGAACAAGCACAGCGGTTAAGTAGTTCAGGTGCCTGCTACATTCTGTTAGATTAAAGGTCCCTGCTTCTGGCTGGACTTGAATTGCCTCAGCTGGAGTTTGGAGGGAGGGGGGCAAGGGGAGCAGTGGAGATGCAGAACTGCTGATAGTCAATGGCGGTCTTGTGCATGCTCACAGAGGCGTAGCGCTCTAAGACAGCCGACCAGCTCCACTCTACATGAACAAACCCAAAGAAAGTCTATTGGATGGGATGGTGATGGCTTTAGGAATCTATGTCCACATTTTACTCGAGAACAGTGTGCATCCATGACATTTCTTTGGAGAGTTGAAGGGGCATGAAAGGAAACTTGCTACTGGCCTGGTGGACCTATAGAAATGATACACAAAGCACACACAGGAGTGGAGAGCGAGGAGATGAGGGGGGTGGATGTAACTGTGCGCCAATGTGCACCTGTGCTGTCCACTCACTTACACAGAGCAGCAATGCAAGCAAGATGACCGACCCCCAAAGGATCCCTACAAAAGGTGATTGACAACTAACACAAGGAGAACTTACAGGGCCATTATAAGTTAAGAATCAAGTTTTATCTAGAAAGACAATAATGTCAAAATGAGTTGGTAATGATGCCCTTCTGTCCAAATGTGGAAGAATTTAATATCTGTGATGGCAACTTTGGAACGGTTAAAAGTGCACTGTGTAACATTTCTAGTGGAGGGTCTCTATGAAAATGTTATTGCACAGTATAGATTAAACCTCCCTAATTTATGGAAGCAATAGATATACATGTAACAAATAAATACAAGATGATATGTTTCAAGACATACCTTGGAACATTCCAGGCAAAGCAATAACATCTTGGACCCTTGGAACAGAAAAGTTGTAGAGTGCACATTTAAAATATTGTCTCAGTGGTAAATCCAATCTTTCTGAAAAATGTGAAAATGCTCTGAACTGTCTGAAAATTAAAAGCCACCGCCTTGGAAATGATTTATTGCATAGATTTATTATGTTGTTGTTTACTTGTTTTTGTTTGTATAAATGAAAAAAGACCAATAAAAATATATGTATAAAAAAAATCATGTCTTATCTAAATGTTTTGTTTTGTCCTTACTCATTGCACTTTTGCTGTCATGTCTTCTTCCTGCTCAAATTGAAGTTGGTCAAGGCTGGCTGCACAAGAGGGCCTCAGCATGTCTGACTTCCACAAAAGTCGTTCCCAAGCAGCCGGGTCAAGTACACGAGGTCAAAGGTCAAACCTGCCCGTCGGGAGGGGATACCAGTCTGTGTGGAGACAGGTGACTTGTAGATTGTTAGCCAGTTTTGTTTTGTTGTTTTAAAGGTACTTCGGCTGGAATTTAAGGCACAGGTAACATTTATAACATGATCCAATTCATCTGGATATAGAACGTGCCATGCTGTCCATTTCTATGAGTTATTTTATTTTTATAAACCCGGTTTTATTTTGTAATTAAGTGTCATGTCCTGTAAACTTCCACTTTGGATTTTTGTGTTTAATTTTGCTTTTGGTCTTTTTTACATTAGACTTAGACAAACTTTATTGATCCACAAGGGAAATTATTTAGACACAGTAGCTCACACATAACAATATATTGTAATAACAAAGAGCAAAAATATAAATAGTAATACATTCCAAATAACTAGCAAAAACAGCAAAAGACTGGTTTCAAATAAGGTGTAAACAAAATATAAAAACTATAGTAATACAAATATATCTCAGCTGTAATAATGAATATTAAACCTTTTAAGTGCAGTCCTGCATTTTTGTGTCTTCCTCAGTTTGAAAAAATGACAGAAGATACTTTTATAACTTATGCACACCATGTTCTATCATGTTTTTGCTTTTCTGCATGGGGTATAAAGTAAACATTGAGTTATTCACATCTTAATCTAGTGCCGCGCTCGGTGCAGCTTAAAGAAACTGATACTCCTGTGACTCCTTTAGCAACTGATTGTGTTACCTTTACAATTTGGCTGTGCCTCCTTCCTGTTGTGTACCAGAGGAATGCCCGAAAAAAGTACCCCCACTGTGGGCTTCCACCTGCAGAGGCGAGCGGGCTGTGTGGAGAGGATGGAGCAGCAGCAAAGGAGAGGGTCAGTGTTACAACTCCATGGGGGATCCTCATAGTTATTCAGTCCTTAGAAAAAATAAAATGGTATGAGTTTCAGCTATGGCAACTATGCAAAAAAGGTCAGGCAAGATGGGAAGGGATCAAAACATGCTGCTCTTTAAAGGTGCATAGATAGGTTTAATCTATACAGTGAAACATTTTAGACAAAGCAATAAAATGGAGACAAGCAGGTGGCGGACGCTCCACTAGAAATGTTATGCAGTGCACCAATAACCCTGTGTGTAAAAACATTTCTCTTAGTACTGAAAACTACCTTACCATACCATACCACAGTACTTTGTTTTTATATTATAACATATGCAAATGTAAAATTTGTCTATTTGGATCTTGAAAATGAACAAGAATTTTATGCTAATATATTTTCCATCGAAGACTCCATTTCAACCCATTAACTTCTTTTATTTTGTGCATCAAATGTCATAAACAACAGTGCATTTAGGGTGCAGAAAAGGAGGATTATCTCTGTAACACAGGGCGTTTTATGTTTGACTTTTCAGACAAAGGAGTATTCATGTGACTGACTGTGGTTGTTGTTGTCAGCACACTCTAACATATTTCTTTTTTGCTGCTAAATTCTGTTTCATTCTGTGCAGGAGGAGGCAATTTATCTGTCATGGCTTCAAACAGAGGCGCCCCCCGGCCCACTCTACTGACAGCAGTCTTATTAGCCAAAGGCCACATGAAGTTACCCACTGTTCACCTCTGGGACCAGGCCTGCCTCTTTACAATAGCTCCAATGACGCTAAGACTTCTTTCCAGTTATTAATTTGATAAATATATTAATTATGACTTGGAGATGACAGTCCCATCAGATTGCCAGGCGCCCATTGGTAGCCCCCACCCCCTGCTTTGGTGATAAGTTTTCTCAGGTTTCCAAAGCTGTCATCCACAGAGCTGCACTTGTTATCAGCACTCAGTCCATTCTCAGGATAATTTCCTGTGTGTCATAATTAAATGGTGGCCCTCTGATGCTGAATCACTCACTTTTCCAGCAGGAAACTCAGACTGTGGCTTCTCTGGGAAAGGATTAGGAGGATATATTCAACCAACTATACATTTTAAAATATTATATTTTTCTGAATACAATTTAAACAATTCATATCCTCTGTCGAAGAAGACTGTTTACTTGGCTCCAAAGTAATGTTATATGCTCACAATTACAAGATACACAACTAGAAACTGTACGTTGAAATACAAATGGTGACTACATTTTATATGGTTTATCCAAAAATCATTATCACAGAATATGACTCATTGACATTATGTTGGACTGTATATTATATTTAGAGTTCAGTGGTGTTCTTGAAAAAAACAAAACACAGCATTATTCTACATCATAAATTCAATGTAATATGTCTCTGGCCTTGTGCCATCTTCACATCATCGTGGCGGCCCTCTTTGAAGGATCACTGTGGTTGGTATATGGAAAAGTACAGGCGTCCACGATGAGATGTAAGACATGTTCTAATATAAAGTCTGCTGCTTCCCCCTGCCCTTGTGCCACTGGGCCTTGTCTAAAAGCCGTCTGGACTTTAAACTCGAGTGATAACTTAATTTCTTTTCATGTCAACACTGTAGTGGGGGCCAAGAGGAAACTGTGCCTCTTTTGTGCATCTTTCACATCGTCCTGCCCAAGAATGACAAATATTTAAGTGGCTTTGATGTGGTGGATCTTACCCAACTGCCCTGATGATCTGAAAGTGCTTGAGCTTAGATTTTTGACATGCTCTTCTTCCCCTTCTTCTCTTTGCCACTTGCTGTTGCTGTACCAACTGAAGTGACCCCTACACAGCCACACCAACTACCTACAAACCCTCCTGTGAGACTATGGCCAGAGCAAGGCTTATGTTTGAGATGGGAGGGGGTTTGACAGGCGGCCCTATCTGCCAATCTCCCTGTGGATATTGTTGCAGTACTGGCAGACTGAGTGCCAGGGTTTGCTGCCTGAAAGATCTCCTCTGTCAGCAGGTTATCATTTCCAATTAAACCCTTTCATCTAAACGTACAGTCAACTCCTTGGCAAGCCACAAAAATGACCCATAGAAGACATTAATAGTCGGTTTCAACACATCTCCATTTTTTCTACCTCTGCGCTATAACAAAAGGGGTCGGGCAATCTTTTAAAGCATTATGGTTCTAGATTCTTCTGCTATCTTGATCCAAATAGCTCAGCACTCCAGCCTTCTACGGTGGTCATTTTGTTTAGAGATAAACTTCCATAATTGAGGTGGATTGACACACGGGCATGTCCTGGCTAACATGTGTAGCAATACAAGGGCCTTTTTGTGCAGAGTTGTGCCTGTCAGGGCGCACTGTGGGCAGCACTGTTCCAGAGCATTCAGCAGAAGACATGGAGGAATGCATCAGCTCAGGAGCGGCTGTCTGCTGAAAAAGCCCTCACAACGTCTCATTTCCTTTAATAAGAGGCCTCCGGGGCATCCGGATGGACCACTACACACAGATTAACCTCTGCATCGTCTGCATCACTCACTCAGTACTGGGCACCAGCAGAAATGTACATTTGTGAAACAAGTGTAAAACAGCTCCAGGTACTCGCTCAGGTACAGCATGTTGGCTAGATTTTGATTTAAATAGAATTAAAAACCCACTGGAAAAACATGAATGGTCCATACAATTACCATAACCGCAAAATCTAAGATTTGACTTAATAGCCAATTAAACAGGATTTTCTTTCTTTTTTTTTCTATAAGCCATTTTGCTGTAATTTGTAATAGTTTATATTAAATTATAAACAATATACTCTATATTCTTTTTTTTTCAAATTCATCATGTTTTTTTTCCACCTTTTTGTAATATTTACCCACTGGGTAACACTATATTAAGTGCACACTAGTAAGCCTTACTATACTTAGAATCATTAATAACCATTTAATAATCATGAATAAAGTATTGGGCATAATTGTAAAAAGTAAATGGCTTATTTACCTGACCTGTTTGGTGGTAGCACTTCAGCCTTCAGGTTTCATGCTTCTCGATATGCAAAAAAAAAGTTACTGTAAAGATTAAGAGTTCAATAGAGGCAGGTGTAGCTTTACAGAAGGATTCTAAGTGCTATTTAATTCAACAATTTCCTCCCTTAGCTTCACTACAGGAGTGTTCTGAAATGTAGCCCACAAACCTACACCGACATCCTGCTCAGGCAGCAGCACTGCTAATTTCAGTTTGACTCCTTTTTCATCCACTTAATCTTCCTTAATCTGACAATAATACTTTATTTATTCAAGGACATGGTCGTACTTTTTGAATTTCAATGATAGAGAAAGAGGAGGAGAGGAAGCAGAGTGTGTTATCAAGGCACCTGTAGCAGAGGTAAGGTGACACTCTCTGAAATACTAAGCTAATCCTCTTGGTTTTAATGGTTTTGAAATGCTATGAAAGATTAGGTAAACAGGGCAGTCGATAAATGGGAAAAGAAGTTAATTGGCCTTGTGAAACGGCACACAATGCAACTTTTGAGAGCAGAGAAGTTCATTTGAATTTTTTGGCACCAACAGATCCAACCTCTTGTGAGATTTTAGCCATGTTATAATGCTATTACCTCAACAAAAATCATACCCAGAGTTGTGTTTTGTTTCATTCACACATGTTTGAGTAGGTCTTTATTATTAGTCTGTCCACATCTTTAAAGCTCAAAGTGCTCTATTCCTCCTCATGATGTCATGAACCAGCAATTTTCAAGTTAACAGCTAACTTTTACTTTTAATTTAGTAGTGAGAGAGAGGGCTGAAATTATCCAAATGATTCTAGTGAAGGTGTATATGGAATTAAAAAACACAGTGCACTTCCTGTATTACCACATGACATCACCAGATGGAACAGAGTGTTTTCTGTTTGAAAAATAATTCAGTCTAAATATGCAGGATTTGTATGTTAAAACGAACATGTGAATGAAACAAAACAGGTTTGGGTTAGGAATTGTTTTGATGACGAATCAACATTGTAACATAGATCAGCCCTTTAAGAATAAAATTGTGTGTGTCAGGTTTTATATAAAAAAAAATGTTCTGAAATTCAGATAGGTCTACTCATCCTTGAAATGTCTTGGATTTTGAAAAAGAATGCCATGTGAGTAACTGGGCCCACCTGAGCCCTCTCCGATTCCCCTACAGAGAAAGGTCATATGGTCCAGGTGTTTGCCCTCCACTTGACTCCTTTCCAACAGACTGTGGCTAAACCAGGGACAGCACTGACCCATTCAAGTCCATCTTAACTGTGTATGAGCCACACTTTCACAAAACAGCTTAGACAGGGCTGTACAAAATATGGCAACCAAATTGAAACTGCAATTTGAGTTGCCACAATTATCAAATTTTATTTTTATTTTGTTCTTTATTTCAGACACAAACAACATTTGGACTATAGTTAAAAATAAAACCTGGATACAAAAAATATACAAGGCAACCAAATTAGTCCATAAAGTTCATTAAAAATTGTGGAGTATCTGTACCCAGTGTTTTCTCAAAGCAGAGATGAGCATGAGTTCATTTGTGGGTTGGTCAAAGTCTTTATGATGGAGTTTTCAGATACCTCCAGATGCTGCACAAATGTGCAAACTAAATACCTAAGCAGTGCCTCTCGTGGGGATGTAAGCATCCACAAACAGCAGATTGTTTAGATAGTAGAATTTCCTTGGCCAAAACACATATTTAGTCCATTTAGAAAAAAAAAATACCTGTGGTCCACAGCTTTGAAGGAATGCTCTGAAATTCATGGTACTCTTGTATTAGTTTAGATTTCCTTCTTCTCTTGAATGTTAATGCTATTGGAGCGGTTTACAATCTGCACTCTGAACAGAATCCTACTTTTGAAATATATATTACCAAGCTAAACACAAATTGTTCAAATTGTGCAGCCCTGTGCTTAGGAAGTGTTTGACTCAAAACTGATTTCAGATGAAGAGATTTAGAGGCTCAAAGATGTCTGTGGTTAACTTTTAGTAAGAAACTAGATGTTCTCTGACTGAAACTCATGGGCCAACCTCAGTCATCTAAAAGTACACTGTGTGATATTTATAGTCTCTTTAATGCCTTACAATAATCTCAAACAGTCTTTATAAATTTAAAATCCCTTTTTAAAATTCCTTTTACATCTCCAAATTTACTAAATGGAAACAGCATGTCAATGTTGTACAGGATTATTTTATTAATTGCTCAAATTAAGAAAAAAAACCCAAAAAACTATAAAATAAAAATATAAAAGGGTCATTAAACATTGTTTGAAAACTACATTTACTCTTGCACTTCCTTTGTTTTGCTGTTGATCCATGTAATGCTACTTTAAAGGCTAATTGTTTAACCTTTGCTCATCTTCATCCCCACACTCCATTTGCCTTTTCCTGCTTGTTAAGATATAAGGTTAACTGCTTAACATGACACAAGTCATAATATGTTTGTTTGGACCATGACCTTAACTGAAAGCACATTCTTCTTAACTGACTAACAACACAAGTTAATTGTGGCCAGTTTCTACAAATTACTCACCCGTACCTTTGTGTAGTCTTGTCAATTTCAAGAACGATCACCTATAATGGAGAGACCAAAGTTTGACACTTTCAATATAACGTGAGGTTTTGATGCACTGACAGTTTAATAAGTAAAAGCACAGCACAACAGCTCCTAATCCTGGGTCTATAGCCAGAGGCAGCACACAGCAGCATAAGCTCCCATGGTCCCTGCTATCACCTGCCTATTTAGTGCCATGCCATCCCTACGGCGCTCCAAGCCACTCTCCAGCTCCTTCTCCTAATCCTCTTTAAGGACATTACCTGCTAATATATCCAGTCAGAAGGTATAAAAGCCCGGCTATCTCTTTACCGCCATCGGCACAGGGCTAAATAGGCCATTAATGGAAAAAGGCAAATGGGGGATATCGCGGTTTTGACCCCAAATACCATCCAGATCCCTATAAGAGCGACTGTGTGAGGAGTGCCATGTGCGGGGTCACCAGGGACCAAGGGAGGGAGAGGAAATGATGCTAAAGGAAATACTGTAAAGTGGTTGGCGGTCACTGGTGTCCATGATTTTTGTGGTTGGTCAGTTTCAAAAACAACAGGCAAAAAAATTATAATAATTTCAGATTTTTTTTTTATTTTTTTTTTTTTTAATCACTTTTACGTTTTCTATTCTTCTGATTCTTAGACCACTATAGCCTAGTTGGACAGTGCAATTCAAGTGGTTAATATTAAGGATCATGAACATATTTGCATTGAAAATATAAATTTGCAAGGCAATATAGGCTACATATGTGCTCAAATGTAACACGAGAATTGGCCAAACGATTTTTAAAGGTGAACAGAGCTGAGCCTGATGAGTTACACTTGTGGAGATGCACTGATAACAATAGGACTGGTTGCAGGATTTATGCCAGTTTAAACGTTTCAATCAGTTTAATCACTAGTTTGCTTAATGTTCTGCCCCACTTCCACCTTATTTCATATGGCAAAATAAAAATTTGTATCTTTTCATTAGCTTAAGGACGTTGAAAATTTGGTCAAATATTCTATTTAACAAATAGATGTTTTCCCCTTCTTTTACAAACATTTTATTTTAATCTTCTGGCCTGGGAAGTCATTTTACACGTTTCAACATTCCAACTTGTACAAGGTGATTCAACTTTGGCTAACTTACCTCGATGTTTGCAGCACGTGTAAATAAGCTAGCTGAAAGACGCCTCTGTTGGCGTGACCTAGTCACCTGGAGGCTGGGGACTATGGGCATCCGGGCCCTGGCATGGCAGCTCCTCTCTCCGCTGATGGAGCCACAGCTCAGAGAGGCCACGGACCGCGCTGATGGCTCCGACCAAGAGTGCGCAATTTTTTTTACCTCAGACAGCCGCTCTGCCCTCGCCGCTCAGCCCGCAGCTGAGCGCACCTCCAGCAGGGTGAACAGAAGGCAGCGAGTGCCCTCTGGTGGACAACAAGAGGGACAACAACGACAAATTGGAGATGTGTTACTCTAAATGCAGTCCACCCCATATGAGCCCACCACACTTTTCTCCTCTGTATTTTATTATATTGATCTAGGTCGAACCCAGTTGGTCCAAATACATAGGCCTCGATTTTTACAAGAAACACTACAGTCTACAGGCTTCAGTCTTACAAAATGAAAAAAGAAAAGAAGTGACACATAGGTTAGATATGAGCAGGACAACCATGTTGTTTCTCTTATCCTTGTAATTGCATTTTGATATATTTTAGTTACTTATTTATTTTAATTAATAAATAAGTATAGGCGTCCATAGGCATTTTCCAATAGGCAACTGTGACAGAGGTTATTACAAATTGATTGACAAGCACTGGCTTGCTGTTCCCACTAGAGGGAGGCACAGCATCATAGTCAATAATCATAATAGTCTTATAGGAGAGATTGGTGTTATATCGCTGTGTACATATGTACTGTTATAGTAGTGGGTTACAGTCATATGGGCTGCTACATTAAATAATATAAATAAATAAATCCATCTTCACATGTTTCACATAAGATATGAGTAGATGCAAGACTGTCGAAGCAGAGCGCTCAGACAGACAGATGTGCGTCCAGACTCCCACGCCGCGGAGCTCGGGCCGTGGGGCGGGTGTGATGATTGGAGCCTCAGCAGCGTCATTACACGTGTCTCTCCATCTCAGCGGGAAACAGAGAAGAAGAGTACATCTCCTACAACATACACAGTGCACTAATCACAGCTTAGACAATACAGAGACTGTCTGTAAGACACTGTCTGTGTCATGCTGTTAAAAGTTTATTTATTTATTTATTTATTTATTACCTATGAATTTCACTTATGTTAAATTAAGTGGTCAACAAAAAGTTTTTCTTCTAAACTTCCCTCCTAATTATCTCCAAGGCACTCGCTTCAATCTGCATGATCTAATTCATCACAGGAGGTGTCTTGCCTTCGTCAGTGATGCTTGCGCCAGAGCTGAGATAAGAAACTTCTCTTAAGTTCTGTCTGGGGGGGGTGTTTTTGACAAATGCAGGAGATGTTGACAGGTAATGGCTTTACCTGACACCTCACTTTAGGCTGAATGATTTTTCTGACGAAGCGATTCAAGTGTGTCAGCTGTGGCAGGGGGCTGTCTCCTGATCGCTCTCACATTAACAACTGCATCACTAGGGACAGGTTTTTATACACCTAAGTAAGACATCTTTTCATTTGCCAGGGTTTCAAATGACATCACAACAATTTTGGTCAATTTAAAGGTGCACTGTGTAACTTTACTGGTGGGGACCTACCACTTGCTTGTCTCCATGGAGATGTTTTGCTTTGCATGTATGTAGCGTACCTATGGCATTTAACATGAAAGAAATAAATGATGCCACAAGGTTATGGAGTGGCAAACCTGCTTAAGTTATATTTAAGCTACAAGGAAAGATTCATTTGAATAGTTCCAGTAAAATAAGTCTATTACTGAGCCTGAAATTCCAGGCAAAGAAGTGCTCTTTTCATTAAAATGTTGTTTTCAAATGACAATACAACATCATAATATTGAGCTGGAGGGCAGGTCAGTAGAATTTGCTTTAAAGGTGTGTTTTGTGGTGGAGGGTCTGCCACCAGCTTGTCTCCATGGAGATCTTACTGCTTTGCCTCCTGACGTTAAGCATATCTATTTCCATAGTAACAGACAAGTAACACTACCATTGCCAAGTAAAAGGTCAGATCTGTGGAGATGTTACCCTGCTTACAGGGCATACTTTTGTTAAACTTATGACCAATAAAAATACCTCTAATTGTATTAAAAGTATGATTTAAGTTTAATGTCATACTATGGAACATGGAACAAGCATTATCATCTCCATGGAGACAAGGAAGTGGCAAACCCTTCACCACAAAAGTTATGCATTGAACCTTTAAACTCTCAGACTAACATAACTGTTATTACTGGGCCTATCCACATGAAACAAAAAACTGGCACAAAGTTCAATGTCCATTAGCACAGACTAAGGTGAGATATTTTCACAGTTGTTAGAAATGGTGGAAAAATTGCCCACAAAAAGTTTATTTCGGCAAATTTGTGGATGGAATTCCAAAAATATCATGCTTAGATTCAATATTTGGGTATTTCTTTCAATAAGAGTGAGCCATAGAGCTACAGGCCCCTGCCCTCCATCTGAAATCACATATTTTAGAATGACGCAAACCATTAAGAATGAAGAGATGGGCTATTGTGCTAGCATATGATAGCTGTCAAAAAGGACTCAAAGAAAGTGTAAACATTGCTTGAAGGTGACAAGAGTTATTTTAAGCTTTTGCACTGTGAAAAACTCATCCGAGAGTACAGGCTGTTCCTTGTGTTGACAGTACAAAATGGTCAGACCTATTATACAGTCCGCTGGCACAACAAACTCTGAAGCAATCTGTCAAGATGAGAGTCGTGTGCTTTTCACTTTAACTTCTGACCCTTTTCATAAGTTATTTAAACAATAACAACCAGTTCATCGCCCGCTACTAGTGTGTGCTCAAGTCATTAACTCAATCTTATTGAATTTGCTGTTTTCATGTGAACGTAAATAGCCAATTATGAACAAAAAACATCATGTAGCTTATGTTTCATCAAAGCAAGGCAAGTATATTTGTATAACACAGTTCGTACACAAAGTAAGTCAAAGTGCTTTACAAAATAAGAAATGCATTTAGACATCATGAACTGCAAAAACATAGGGTTATGTAAATTGATTGATAATTGCATGGTAGTACAATGGAAAGTGACTCATACTCAGGAGATTTATAGTGGACAATAATGGTTTTTATTTAATATTACTTAATTGTTTTTATTTGTTTCTTTATTTCAGGGTGTGTGTGTGTGTTAGGAGAATTAGTTCATTATTTTACATTTTGTTCATTGCCAACCTAGTGAAATAGAATAGAAGGTCCACTAACTACGCACATTTTCATATTTCACCATAACAAGCGAGAGATTTTACTTGTATGTAGATATATAAGTATTTTTTAACCCTATACACATAGCCCCAGAGTTTTTTTTATTAACCACAAGTAAATACATAACAGTGGGTGGAGACAGGGGGTAGATGAAAACTTTTTTTTTTTCAAAGCGCTCAAACCTCAAGTGCAGGGTTACTTAAAAATGCATGAATCAATGAAAATACAACAACTAGCAAACAAATAACCTTGAGGGTAAACATTTGTGATGATCATAACTTATTTTTATTCAATACACATATTTTTCACATATTTTATTTTATATTCAGCAGAGCCCCTTTCCTCCATCTGAAAGTATGACATAACGAATGTCGTGAGCCCTACCATACAGCAACAGCGCATATATTTTCACTTCATTTATCATGCAAATTACATATCATATAAGCTGCATTATCTCTCAATTAGAAGCCCAACTGGAGTTGTTAACCTTTGTCTGCTATACATAAAAGCATCGTAGTGAAAAATGCTAATAAATTCTTGGCTTGCCCTTGTTATAGAAGTAGTATCAGTGTTGAGTTTACAGTATGGTGCATGTGAGGTGTAGCCTGCAGATGTGTGATGGCTGTCCATGTTCATAAAACAGAATAATGTGAAAAGACAGCTTTGGAGCGGGTGCATGAGGCACAGGGCAGCAGCCAAGCGTGATGATGTCCCCACAGGCACTCGTCATGCATATAGCGGCAGTTAAAGTGAGATACAACAGCAAGCGACTGGCTGCAAGACCAGCTCTGATCATATATATTATAAGTGAAAGTATAAGTATATTAGCATATTTTTGTCATTTAAATATGCATTATTTTTTATAAACAAATGAACAAAAGTAGCATAACTCAAAATGTTTCATTTTGAGATATGCTACTGATGACATACATAAGCCAAAACTATGCCACGACTTTGCCACAGCCCCCACCACTCAACCTTCCCAGCAGCATGTTAGCATATTTTTATTTATTTTGTGGTTTCACATTTTCGACTGAAATTATTTACACAAACATGAAGTCCAATTTTAATACTTTCTCTGAATTTGTCAAATAGAATTACTTTTGTGACCAGCTTTATTACAAACCATTGAAATACAGATATTTGGTGGGGAAATGTGTGGAAGAGTGAAATGTTCAGATACCTACATGTAATGTATTATTGCATAAATTGTATGAGGTGCACTTTATTGTCTCCGCAGGGAAATTTGTCCTCTGCATTTAACCCATCCTTCAGTGCTGCTGGAGCAAGAGCTGTGAACAACCACCAGCAGTGCAGTACCCTGGGACTCATCTCCACATCTCGAGCTTGGTTATATGTAGGCTTTTCCAGCACTGCTTACAGATAAAAAGTAATAATAATGCCTTACGCTGCCAATCTGCACCAGCAGCCAAACAATCACTCAAGCACACACCGCATTCATTCTAAGCAGGGTGTGTGAAGTGTTTTGCCTAAGGACACAAAAAGCAGCAATCGATCCCCCGACCTGAGGGTTGAGACACTACTGCTCTAATCTGTGAGCTACTGTTGCCCGAGTAACTGGCTTCACACAACATTTAACAAGCTCCAACACAAAACTTTTGAGAGTCACAAGTCAAGAGATTCTATTTGCTCTTCCTCACCTACTTCGTGCCCTCAGCCCTATAGAAGACACAGGTAAGAAAACAAGTCTAATTGACAGTTGTATGAGGAGGTCTTGACATGTGTTCCTGCATGCTGATCCAAGCAGGGCTCATTTTAAAGACTGCTGCCACTTCAGCTTATATAGTCACGCTGTATACTGCAGAGTCACAGTCATTAACACAGAAAGGACATCAAAGCAGATGGACCAGCACGATTATAAGAACTCTGGAACGCCTGGAAGAATTTACACACAGCCAAGATACACCCAATTATGTTAGCTGGAAAAACATCGCCTCTGATCTGGAGAGAAAAAAGTCACATAGATGGCTAATAATAAAACCCAAAACAGCTATTTTCCTATTTTGCGTAATTTTGTAACTATTTGGTGAATGAATCTGAGCAGAACAGTCATTTTTTTAATTAGCTGATTCAAAGTGGGCATAAAAGAAATAATACAGGCTGACATTATATTCAGAGAGTGAGACATGGCATCACATAAAGAGGACGAGTCAAACATACAGGAAGTGATGATGTCATGTTACACCCTCAACATCATGTAAAACATTGTACTCACTCCTCACAGACCAATGGAAGTGTACTTTTCACATCTGAAGACAACTTAAACTTCATATGAGGTTTAGCCATGTTAAAATAATCAAAAACATACCTGAAGTTGTCTTTTGTTTCATTCACACATTTAAGTAATCCTTAATTATTAGTCTCTCTACATCTGCAAAGCTCAAAATGCCCTTTTCCACTGTGTGATGTCATGAAGCTGCAGTTTTCAAGTTAGTAGATACCTTTTTACTTTTGTTCAGCAAAGATGGACAATTTCGGAGCTGAAATTATCCAAATGATTCTAATGAAGCTCTATGGCATTTAGTATTAGTATTTATGGCATTTAGACAGTGGAGCACTTCCCGTATTATCACATGACATCACAAGGTGGAGAGTAGAATATTTTTTTGTTTGAGAGAGCCTAAATATGCAGAATTTGTGTGTTAAATGTGTAAATGAAACAAATTACAATTCTGGGTATGTTTTTGATGAAGCAACGGTGTTATAACAGAGATCACAAAATAGCCTAATATGGGCTCTTTAAAATTTTTGTTTTTTTACTTTCCTGTCTGACTCATAGTTTGAATCTTACAGTATTTTTGGTAAATGTTACCTAAAGGTACTTAAAAATAGAGAGAGAGAGACTTCAAATATAAAGACCTTTTTTGCAATAATGTATTGAATTCTCCATAATGTATTCAACTTACAGACTTCATGAGGGCGGCAGAGGACAGAGGTTACTGGTGGTTATAAGAGCTTTTTGGGCAGTACAATAGCGAGTTGCCTGCTGATTGGGTATTCAGTCTTGCATTGGAATTGTTGACTTGGAGAGTACACGCAAAACTCCAGGGATCAAATGTTCAAATCCTCGCTCTGTTGTATACAAGTACTATCAATACATCTAAATTACCTCACTACTCTAGTACTAATAAGCACAAACCAGATATGAGCTTTCTGTAAATTTGTGCAGATAGTGACTGGGATTATACATGTAGACCACGCCTGGGTCAAATGCACAAATGAGTCAGATAGTTTGCAGGCATAAACTGAAACACTTTGGTCTAGAGGCAGACTCATTATTAAGAAATTATGCATGTGGGCAGGTTTCATCCTGCAAAAATATCCAATGAATCATTTGACTTTTGGTGACCTCAAACTGAATTAAACAAGTCAACAAGGTCACACAATGTGTTGTGATTCATTAGACATGAACATGATGCAGTCTGGGAAACCAGGGTGTGAACAAGAGCCTCACTTGAGCAGGTGTGTGGAGGTGAAGAGGGTGAAGAGGTAGAAGAGGATGAAGAGGATGAAGGAGCAGGAGTGTGCGGTGCACTCACAGCGGGCAGAACATACATGACACCATAACCAGGTGTCCATCACCTACACCAAGTGCACCCTGGGAGCATATGGTTCTCATACACAGTGGTGCTTAAAGGACACAGTGAATGAAGTCAGGATGTGAGGAAAGTGAAATCAAAATGATTTTTTGCTTCTTGATCATTATTAGTAATACTAGACTTGTTTTCTGTGAAATGGACAAACTGTTGGTGCGCCTAGCACAAGTGCACTGCACAGGGACCACTTTGCTAAGTGGACCGTGTCCTAATGGAGTGTTCATTTAATTAAGTGGATTTAAGGCACTACAGTGTGCTTCACTGCAGTAAACAAATAGTTTTCAAGCAGAAATACTAACACAAAAACAACCAAAAATCCTGTAATAAGGCTTTGAACCTGATTACAGACTTATGATCTCATACTGCAGAGGAACAATGTTTCACATCTGTTCATGTAAAAGGTAAAAACTCCATCCATGAAATTAATTAAGAACTTTCTACATTAACTATTTTCAATTTGTCATTTGACATAATGAATGAGGTTGCCAAACGGCCATAGACCACTCCTCTATGGCTAACGAAGTCTTGTTCTCTCAACTGGATAGGAGAGAAATCACTTCAAATTACACTCAATAGATCAAAATCCATGCTGTTTAATTTTGGACCAGGAACTAATCTGAAAGAAATGGTTTTGGGCAAATGAGTCATTTTGGAGCCTGTTAATTGAAATCTGAGTGTTAGCTGATGTATGGTGCTGTGTGACATTGGTAAATGGGTCTTATAACTGCAGTTGAGCTTTAAGACTGATGTGGCGAATCCAGGCTTTAAAAATGACCCTCTGAGGCACCCTTATCTCTGTGGATGTTTGAATCTCCACATGAGGTAGGGCCAGACCTGATGTAAATGACTTCTGCACACCGAGGTTTGTTCCGAACTGGTGGAGCACAAGATTGGAGGCGTTTACTGCATCAGGAAAAACATTTTGATGGGCCAAATAAAAGTACAATTACAATCACCATAAAATATAGCCATTCTGTTTTGTTTGTTTTGGTATTCCATAAGCAAAAACCCTCTTTTAATTGACTGTGCTCTGTAGTGCTTTTGTTTACATGCAGATTAATTAAATGCCACTATCTAAAGCATAGCATAGCGTCTGTTACAGCCTCGTAGGAAAGCGCTGAATAATTGGACTGGCTTTTTGTTGCAAAGGTCTTGGGTATTTACACAGCGTGCCATGGGATCTACTGAGCACCAGCAGATATGAAATTAAAATCTAACACTGTGGTACAAAAAATGTGAAAGGTCCTCCTATCAAAAAGGAGAATTCTAAGCCAACAACATACTTTAATGATCCAAAGATGTTCTGACCAAATAGTTGTCTGAAGCAGTTCAAAACACTGTGCTCATTAAAATTACAACAAAACAAAACATGTAGCTGCACTTGACAACCTCTTGGTTCCATAATTTTCAGGTCCAATACCATAAAAACACAACAAATCACTGAAAAGATTCATAGAAATATACAATGGAAAACTAAATATTATGTAAAGCTATATGTTTAATCTGAGACAGTGCAGATGAACAGGAAGGAATCTTGCATTTAGGGATATGAATTTGAAACTTCTTCTTTAGTATACTTACATTTTCATCAACTAAATTTTCAGAATTGCACATATTTAGGACATATAAAACTAAATAGTTAGAAGCAGGTTACAATCACCATAAAATAATTCTCTTCAGATTTTGAAAAGATGGTGTAAAATGCCTCAAAATGTCTAAAATAAAAATGCCTTTGTAACATCCCCCCAAATCTCTTAAATATGAAATTGGACAGTTTTGTGTATGGAGGTACTTCTTTAAGGGATGATCCTCATGTCTTTCTGGAAGAAAATGCATTTTTAGAACAGCCTTTGAAGTTAGCTGGTGTAATGATCCATGGTGGAAAAAGTTCTATGTTCAGGTGACTACCTCTGAAACTTGCCCTTTGAAGACACAACGTCCCATATAAATCTATGGATGCATTAGACAAAATAAGAATATTTTTAGGTGAAAATTAGATAATGCTGATTCCATGAGAAAACTTGTTAAGAGAGTAAACAACTGATCAATAAAACAAAAAAGAAAAAAATAGTTTTGCCTATAGCTTTATTGTTTTGCCTTTGAAACACAAGTACAAACAGATTTTCTTTCTGTTTTTTTCTTGGACAACTCAATATTGATCATGAATGTGTTGAAAAAGCAAAGGCCAGTGGATGTGAACCTGTGGTGCCCTTTGACCTCTGCGCACCCTCTACACTGCTGCAGAAATAACAACTGAGGTCATGCACGGTGTCCCCACTTTGTGCTTATCCTGTTGGCTAAACACATCTGCTCGCACTAGCATCAGCATGTTGGAGGTCATGGGCCACACACACACACACACACGCACGCGCGCACGCACGCACGCACGCACGCACACACACACACACACACACACACACACAGACACACACACACACATGGTTAGACAGGCAGGGGGCAGTGCACACGGCTCCACTCCCACACACAGTACATCCATATGAACATGTAAACACCATAGGGCACATGCGGGTCCTCACAATACTGCAGGCATTACAGCAAGTGCAGCTAAAAGGCGAACTCACCTTTATCCATGACACCATCTATTCAAGGGCGGGGGAAAATTAGAGAGATTACACCCGATAATAGAATCTAACTATTCAGTGGGGCCTATTGGTTTTGCGAGGTCCAAAACATTCACCAAAATAGCACTGTTTGTGGTTGACTTAAAACATTGTGTAGCCTATGCTATGATACAGGTTGTAGAATATGCAGACCAATTTTTTTTTTATCAAAAAAGAAAAAAACAAACAAACAAACAACCATACAACGTGATTTTATTATTTACTCCAACTGCTGTACTCATCATGACGCGCATGACATCAGTGTTATCATCCGCCACGCAATAGTGCGTGCGTTTCTATTTTTACTCCTAAACGCTATTTTGGCACAAGGGTACTGCAGTATTCGTAAGCGTCGTGAAAGAAGAGATACTGGAACAAAAGGACAAGAGAAACAGTTAATTATGCTTCAACTTTAGTTTTGAACGTTTCCTTGGAGAGCCCTGCTCAGTGCGCAATTGCGCAGCACAGAGACCAAGCTCTGGCTGCACTGACAGGGGAGAGTGCTGAGTGCAGCAGCAGCTCCTGACAGAATGACTCTACTCGTGCTAATAGGAAATCTCCGCTATACCATGAAAACAGAAGTTTCTAACTCTGCCGTGGATGGACCTAGACCAGTCTGTGGAGGCTTTACGCGGGAATGCGGTAGTTTAAATGTGTCTTGGGGAGCATGAGAAGAGAGGCTGTCTGAGGACTGTCCCCACCATGCACGCGGTGGACATAGCGTGTACCCTGTTGCTGTTAGGGATCATCGTGGTGTCACTGCTGTCCAATGTTGTGGTGCTGATTTGCTTTTTGTACAACCCTGAAATCCGTAAACAGGTGCCTGCACTCTTCATCCTCAACCTGACGTTGTGTAACCTGTTGCTGAGCGTGTCCAGTATGCCGCTGACCGTAGTGGGACTTGTCACTACCGGACATCCCGGAGGAAGTGTGTTATGTCAGCTGGTGGGATTCCTGGACACTTTTCTCACCACAAACTCCATGCTGAGCATGGCGGCGCTCAGCATAGACCGTTGGGTGGCCGTGGTGTTCCCGCTGAGTTATCACTCCAGGATACGGCACCGGGACGCTATCATCGCGCTTGGATACACGTGGATCCATTCGCTGTGTTTTTCTGCTGTGGCCACCTGGCGTTCGTGGCTTGGGTACCATCACCTTTACGCCTCGTGCACTATGTGTAATTCACGAGGCAAAGCCTCAGGAACACAGTATGTGGTCTTCACTGTCCTCCTCCACGCGCTCAGCTACCTCCTCACGCTGGTGGTGCTGTGCGTAACCTACATGAAGGTGCTCAAAGTGGCCCGGTTCCATTGTAAACGCATCGATGTGATCACCATGCAGACACTGGTACTACTTGTGGACATCCATCCAAGGTAATTCCAGATCCGTATATTAAAAGTGTGAAAAGTATAAAAGTATTAAACCCGTGAGAAATAAGTCCCACATGACCAAAAACTGTGGAATTGTCAGATCAAAGTTATGTAGGCCTATGTATGTTTCCTTTTTTTTTTTTTAAAGAACCGTGAAAGCTAATATCCTTTCTGACTTTTTACCTGACATTGATTTACATGGAACTTATGTTCCATTAAAGTGCAGCATGACATGACCTTTTTGTTTAAGAGTGCTATGTATGTATGTTCACTGGTATACTGAGCTCATTGACTGGCATGAGAATACAAAGATTTCTTTAGCTCCACCCCCACACCATGTTAGCCATGACATTGTACTGTAGGTTGACTCCAGAATGTGACTGTATAGGCTTGATTTCTCACTCATCCATGTTGTAAGATCTTTCGTGCATAAACCATTCCATTAGTGCAGTAATAAAAGGTATAGTAGCCCCGTACTGCCAGGTCAAGTGTAAACAATGCTCCCCTCTCTGTGTGTGCAGTGTGAGGCAGCAGTGTTTGGATGAGCAGAGACGCAGGAGGCAGAGGGCCATCAAGAAGATCAGCACCTTCATTGGCACGTTTGTGGTCTGCTTCACTCCTTACGTGCTTACAAGGTGAGTCTTCATGTACAATTGTAAAGGTCTTATACATTACATTTCTGGCTATTGCAGACACACAGTCACTGTACTCCATGGTGAGGCAATGACAGAAGAATAGTGTGATGATTCCTGTGGACTTCATCAGATGTGCCTTTATTAGCACTGGCAACCTGTCAGGCACAGTTAGAAGTCTGCTGCTTAGAAACTCTGAAAGGAAAATCTAAAAATATGCAGTCCACGGATCTTTGTTTATTAAGAACGTCAGATGTCAAATTAAAACTATTATACAAAAAAGGTCTTTTGGCTCAAGCGCACATTATAATGGAGGTTAGGGCTTAGACCTGCCTTCAAGATTTAAATCTGCTTGACATTTTTATATTATACTGATAAACCTAATTCAAATTATTTACTGAACCCTACTCAGTGTCATGTTTTGACTCAAATGAAAATGTAGCAATGTAACTCCAGACTGATCACAAAGTACCTATCTAACTACTATTTACGAACTGCTTACAATAATTCTTCATTCATTCTTCATTGCTCACTAATAAAATATTTTTAAGTATTATTATATTAAAACCAAAAGCTTCCAGTTGCGTTACAAAGACACCAGCAATACAAATGTATTGTTAAAGGTCCTATATTGCATGAAATTGAGATTTTTATCAATGTAGCATGTTACTTCACAAACATACTTGGAGTTGTGTTTTGATTTGATTAACCCTTTATTATTACTTTGTCTAGAGCTTCAAAGCTCAAAATGCTCTGTTCCGCCTTGTGATGTCATGAAGTGGTAGTTTTCAGTTTTCAATAAAAATGGAAAATTCCTGGGTTGAAATTACCTAAATGATTCTCGTGAAGGTGTATAAGGTGTTTGAAACACAGTGGAGCATTCCCTGTATTACCACATGACATCACAAGGTGAAACAGAGTTTTCTATGTAAGAGAAGAGCTCAGTCAATATATGCAGGATTTGTGTTAAACATGTGGGAATTAAACCAAACACAACTCTAGGTATGTTTGTGAGGAGGAAACAACATTATAACAGATCAGAAAACAGGCCCTTGAATATAATTTGCACAAATGTCATCTGTCCATTATAGCACTGGCGCTTGGATCATTATTCATGATCCAATGATAATGATCATGATTGAATGTCTGGCACTATAAGAGTTTATCTAAGTAAACCCACACATGACCAGTCAATACTCTATCAATCTACACTCAGTTAGTCTAAAACAATCAATACACCAGTCTAAACTAATCCCCTGTCTTTGCATAAGTAAATGTTATGAGTATGTCGTCACAACAGGCTTTAAATGATATCTTCAAATGTTAATGTTAAGACCAATCTGCATGTTAATATTATCTGATATTTGGTAATTCATGTCAGAGTGCAGTGGTTAGAGCATCCATCTCAAACTCATGTGTGAAGGTTGTGTCATTGGGCAAGACACTTCACAGACCATGTCTAAGTATGGATGTGGTGTGAGTGATTGCTGGTGGTTAGAGAGCCATATACAGGCAACCACGATTTTGACAGTCTACCCCAGGGCACCAGTGGCAATACAGAAGTAACTACCCTGAACAGAGAACTAAAGCTCTGCATTGTAGTATATTAGTCTTATTTCTGTTATTTCTGGCCCAGAAAATCTTAAAATGATTGAATTAGTATTTATACAAAGTTGTTCTGTAGTTACTGGAGACATAAATGTTAGCTACATCTATCATCATCTATCTAAATCAGTCTTGGAACTGAAAAACCTGGATCAGTGCATCCCATAAGCATAATGACAACCATATGTCGTGCTGTAAGCAGTGTTTTGTATTGCATGGCTTTGTGATGCTGTTTAATCATGTATCATGCATAATGTGTATCACTATTTAAGTAAAACCAGGTGAACAAAGTAAGCCCAGAGCAGTTTTGGAGCTACTATTTCTTGGAGGCAGGAGAATAAAGATCACTCAAACATGGAGAAATCATTCTAAGGGAAGGGAAAACAATATAACCTGGTTGAAATTTTTTGAAAGTTCATTTGCATAGTATGTCTCTTTTAAAGGCATACCATGATGCCTATAACAGTTCAGTGGTTTAAGTAACCCTAAAGTAATGAACTATTGTGATCTATAGAGCTGTTCTGCTCATGTCCCCCTCAGAGAGCTGGCATTTCACAGCATGACATTTACACAGCATTATAACCCCTTTGGTCCGACTTCCACTCCACTTGCACTCATCCATGATTACCTCATTGTGCGTATATGACTTTGCCTTCTTCTCTTGTCCTTTCCTCTGAGGTAGAATTGTGGAGCTGTTCTGCCCAGGGCCCATTGACCCTCACTGGGGCGTGTTGTCCAAATGCCTGGCCTACAGCAAAGCAGCCACCGACCCCTTTGTCTACTCACTGCTCCGCCATCAGTACAGGAAGACATACAGCAACCTACTCAACAAAGTGCTCAAGAGGAGTCCACTCAACGCGTCTCATAACAGCACAACCAGGAGTTACAATACAGTCAACAGTGTCCAAATTGACAAGCTGACGGACCAATGACAGTCCAGAACACACAGAGACGTGACCAATCATATTGCAGGATGGAGTAGCACAAAACAAGCTTGGAGTATTTAGTTTGTCTGTTGTTTTATACATGTGCCAAAAGGTTTACATTTTAGATAGAAGATAATTTTATAAGTAGTTTAAATACAGCTTTTAAAGTGTAAAATGTTGTATTTGGTAAGTAAGGGATAAATAAAAATGTTTAGGATGTCTATTATTTAAAATCTTAAAAGTTAAATTAAGATCAATATTTTGAGCAATTGTTACCAACATTATTTATTTTGTTTTAAAAGCTGTTTAATGTTTAAAAAGGAGTTGTGACATTGGCCTAAATCTGTTGACCATTTCTTCTGTAACATTATTCTAGCAAGTTGTTTCCTCTATAGAGCAGCATGGGTATGCACTGATGAACAAATGCTTCGTTTCACCCGTGCCTTGCAGACAGAATAAAACACTTTCTGATTTGGTTACAGATCTGTGGAGTTTGCTGTTCTATATTTTGTAGGATTGATAATTGATTGTGGTACTGTAGCATTTGAATATTTTACTGTTATTTAACTTTCGATGAGTTTTAAGTAAGTTATGCACTGCACTGAAGAGGAATTGTTTGGTAACAATATACAGAACTAAGTCAGTATTGAACTTAGAGAGGTTAAAAAGTGGTGTTAGATCTCCAGAAGTGCAGAAAACGTGCATAGGAAGTGCCAGTGTGTGATATGGGATAGGCCAAGGATGTAGCTGCTTAAGTGAATGTAATGTCTGTCTATAGGAGAGTTATTGCTGTTGTAGGATCAGACTTTATTGTCTGAAGACTGTGAGGACTTAAAGTCTATTTTATTTTGTGGTATTTGTCTCACATTTGGTGCTAAATGTGTTTGTGAATATTCTGCATTAAATGCTGTGCATTTGGCATTTCCAAAGAGTGTATGGAATCATCTTTTGGTACATTTTATAACCTGTTCAATCAAATTTATTATCCACAAACCACTCAATTTGTTGTCAAGAGATGATACACCTGTTCCCACATACCATTTTAACAGTGGAGGAGGAGAAGAATTAATTTGAGAAATAATTTCAAATGTCGTCCACCCACCTTCTCTGCCAACAGTCTCTTTCACACAGGCACGATGGCTGGGAGTAGATTGTTTCCTAATTACAGGCTGCTAAGAGCAGAAGTGAGAGATAGGAGAGGAGCAGAGATAAGGAGAAGAAAGGTAGTGTGTGCACAGCTGTCACAGCCCTGAAGGATCGTGGGCACTGGGCTTAGCAAACCACTGCATCTACATGATGCCAAAGTGAACAAACAAACAGGGTTTCTTTGCTTTTAAAAACAAACGGACAGATCTTTTACCATAAGACAGACTGAGGATCAGAGAAGGCCAATTATGAGCGTGTTCCCCAGGAGCGAGCAGCGTGAGTGGGAGAGGCAGAGCTCACATGAAGCCAGAGCAGGGTGCAGCGTGATTAGGACAGAGTGCGGGGGAAGAGACCAGCACAGCAGTCTGCCCCTGATCTGTGCAAAGACCACAGTCAAGACCACAGTCAAGACCACAGGACAGGCTCACACAATCTGTATCCCACTGACTGGGTGCACGCTACATTCCTATACTCTTTTACTATCAGAAATGCTTGGGGAAGAACATATTAAATTTTGACATTCAGAAACTTTATGATTATGGAAAAAGATAAAGACAAACTTCATTCATCCATTACAATTTTAACCATTCCAAATTTCACATCTAACTGATTTCATTTCTGTAATATATTTGCATGAAAAATCTAGACTCAGCATTGTACCAGCTTATATTCATCTTTATAAAAAAAAATACAGAGATTTCCAGGGAAGTAAGATGCAAGATTTTGTTTTCAATACAAAACAAGAATCAGTGTTAATTTTGCATTGTAAATGACAGTGCTACATACTGTAAGTGTCACATCAAAAACCCTTTGTAAAAGTCTTTTTGAAGCAGATATGTTACATTTCCTTTCACTTACAGATCTATCAGTAAAACCCCATGCTTTCTATATGCCTGCTACTAGAGGAGTGACCACTGCCACAAACCGTGAATCATGGGAAAATTGTACCCAAATGCCATCGTATTCCCCCGTGCCCTTGAGCAAACATCCCACACAGCTCACACAGTATTTTGGTCCTGGAATGCTTTTATTTGTTTGTGCAGTAGATGGTTAAATAAAAGTTTAGTGGGAATCTGAGTTTTATTTAGACTGATAAGCCAGCCATATGATCATAGCTTCCTAGTTTACTTTTGGAATATGTTAAATCCATATTAAGAGAGATGTTTAAGATGTTCACTTGTTGCTTAGTAACAATGGTTTGCGCACCATATTTTCTATAGCAGTCTTTTTACACACATGAACTGTAAGAATCCATGGGAACAACTGAAAATGACATGCAATTTGACCTTTGATTCAAACCTCGTGTGTGTGTGTGTGTGTGTGTGTGTGTATATGTTTCATTCATGTTTCATTTCAGAATGTTCTGTTCCACCTTATGATGTCATGAAGCAGAAGTTTTCAAATTAACAGTTACCTTTTTCCTTTTGTTTAGTAAAGATGGGCAATTCCAGGGATGAAATTATCCAATGCTAGTGAATGTTTATGGAGCTTTATAGCACAGTGGAGCGCTTCCTGTAATTCCACATGACATTCCAAGGTGGAACAAGGTGTGTTTTCAGTTTGAGAGAAGAACTGTTAGACATGTGTGAAGGAATTGAAACAAAACTCCAAGTATGTTTGTGATGAGGAAACAACATTATAACATAAATCCGAGAATTAGATAATATGGACCTTTTAAGTTTTTAATTGTGCTATACTATTCTTTCCTCACCAAAAGCATATTTGAAGATATGTATTGTTTCATTTTTACATGTTTTGTCCCAGAGTATGATGTCATCAGTTGGTGACACAGGTAGCTCCTCACACAGGGAGTGTTTTTAAAGTCCATCCAACTTCACTCAAGCATGTCTGTATAAAATTGTACCTCACCTTCAAAGTTACTACTGTTTTAGCTGTACTTGAACTGCTTCACTTCTTGTGCCATCTGTAGATGGTGTGTGAATTACTTTGACTTTAAAAAAATATTTTTAATATAAAAATATGTATTATTATTATTATTATTATTATTATTATTATTATTATTATTATTATTATTATTATTATTATTATTATTATTAATATTTGTAGAATTTTGTATTGTTTACCATTATTTATTTTTTTATATTAAAATGTTTTTTTTTGTTTTTGTTTTTTTATATCAAGGCTAGTATATCAGAGCAAGTATACAAGAACTAATATTTGACAGTTCAGCCTCATATGTCAGATTGTTTAAAAATTCATCACCAAACAAGAGTAAATAACTGCAGTCTTAGAAGATAGATAAGACAAAGATTATTTGTTCTCTGATGTTGTGTCTTATAGTTAATTAAAACATTTTGCCTTTTTGGGGAGATGGCACCTCACGTCTGCATCACGTGCTCAGCTGAGCAATTCTACAGTGAATATAATGACAGCAGCACCACGGGAGGGAATTGGGATCATTTTCAAAAATAGATTAGCCACAAAAATAATCTTTCTGACACATAGCCTTATCAAATCCAGCTAAAAACAGCAGTTGTGCCAAGTGTATTGATTTGCATTCAAATGGCTTCTCTACAGCCTCTTATTAAACGCTTGTGGCACCCTTCAAAGTGTGCAGAGCTTTGTGTGTAAGAAAGAGTGAGAAAGGGGAAGTTGGAGGGAGCCAGCTGCTGCACAAACAACTAATGAGAATATGATGTATGTAGCCTCATGGTCTCTGAGTCAGGGGAACCATCTGCTTTTTTCAAATTCAAATGTGTGGATCCGGTAAAAGACAGATGGAAACCTGTGGAACTTTTATTACTCCAAAGTTTTTACTGATATGAAAGTGGAGCAATTATGCACAATCAACTTTTAACCCTCTTTAAGTTGTTTCATCTTCTCATTTAACCTCTTGAAATTGTTTTTGAAGTGATTCATGCATGTTTGAATAATCTGTATATTCATGTATTTAAGACCACATTGCTCTGATCAACCCCTGTTTTCACTGCCATGTTATATGCCCACTTCTGTGTGCTTACTTCATTCTCCAATTTTATTTTCTCAATCAGTGATATGGATAGGATTTGGCAACATCACATAGTAATTTTGGTACTTTTTAAATCTTTGATCTGCAGCTATCCATAGGAGGTGCCAACAACTTTGTGACTCTTTGTTGTCATTTATGGTGACATGCACTCTCATTGGGCACCACAGTTTTCTAACTCAGAAGGCACTGGACTTGTGACCTTATAACTCGTTTGTGTCGTAGATTATAACTATATCAGACACAAGCTCAGATATGTCTTCTATAAAGCAGCATGTAGTGACTCTTTTCTGTCTCACTTTCCTCTGTGCCCTGATTTCAAAGTGAAATGCCACTGGCTACAAATTCAGCAAAAAAGAGAGAACTGATCCCACGCACTCTGATGTTAAGTAAAAAATCTTTTAACTCTAAGTGACATACCTCATAGATCATATATTCGGTTGGTTCCTGTGTGGTCAAACTTAAACTTGAAATGAAGAGCCATCACATATGATCATTTAAAGTGTAACGAAACACATAAACTCCTCCAACGCAGAAGTCAAACAGAAATTAAGTGAAAGTGCCTGGAGAATTTGATATCGCAGTAATGTCTGCCTATCGTTTACACTAAAATCAATAGGCATAGTGGGCAATATGAGAACACTATGAATAGTTCATACAGTGTTTAGTTACACTTCAAAGGGCCCATATTATGTATTTTTTTTATTATAATGTTGTTTTGTGTGCTTTGTTTCATTCACACATGTTTAATACACAAACCCTGAATATTTAGGCGGAGTTCTTCTCTCAAACAGAAAACACTCTGTTCCTTGTTGTGATGCCATGTGGTAATAAAGGAAGTGTTTCACTTGGATATCATTTGAATAATTTCAGCCCTGGAATTACCTATCTCTTCTAAACAAAAGGTAAAAGGTAGCTGTTAGCTTAAAAACTACAGCTTCATGACATCATAAGGTTGAACAAAGCATCTGATCTTTGGAGATGTAGACAGCAGACAATAATGAAAGATCACTGAACAATTTGTTAACAAGACACAACTTGAGATAAGTTTGCATGAGGTGACAACATTCTAACATGTTTTAAGCTCGCAAGAAAAAAAAAGAGTAATTTAGGACCACATTCACCATTGCATTCACATTATGACTGTACTGTAACTACACAATAACTAAACAATAATTAATTGCTGACTCACAATTCAC